TGTGTGTGTGTGTGTGTGTGTGTGTGTGTGTGTGTGTGTGTGTGTGTGTGTGTGTGTGTGTATTTCGTGTAAGTGTCGAGTGTGAAATACCTTTACTACGTATGCACTCCTATTTCCTTACGTATGACAAAACAATTAAACCCTGGGTTTAACCGACTCCTCCTCCACTCCGGAAATTCCGCGTTATGACGTTATTATTCTAACTTTCGAATTTCGCCGCTCGACTCTCTGCCAATAACTCGATCCCTCTACTTAAACTTAACGCTAATTCATTGTACCACTTAAAGGTATCCTTCCCCCCTCCCGCCTTTGCCTCTGCTTAGCAGAACAGCCGAAAACAATATATATATTTTGTATATATATTAAGTAAAAGATTCATTATATAACTTGGCATACGCGACCGTATCTATTTACACTAGCATGTGTGCTGTCCACGTGCGTGTGTACGTATGTCTCTCCCATAACTCTCTCCTCCTCTCTTCCTATCTCTCTGTGTACGTGTATGTACGTGTGTGCGCGCGCGTGCGTGTATTGTGTGTGTGTGTGTGTGTGTGTGTGTGTGTGTGTATGTTCCTATCATCACATACGTAAACGACACATAACATCTTTGAATATCCTTTTCCCGCGGCTTCTTCCCCCGGGAATTAACTTCTCTATAACTATGTAATCTCCGTCGTCCAGCATCATTAATCCCATCCCCGGCGATTAACTTCCTTTTACGCTCGCTCGGGACAATCGATGTCACCTACGCTCGAATAATTTTCGCTTTCCTCCATCACCTCCTTCATCAGCGCATCGGCGCTAATCCCACCGATCTATTCGATGATCAACGCTACTCTGTATTATCACCTCTCTCGCTTCATCCCCGGGACGAACGGTGCAACCAGCCGCTTCAGCAACGTCCGACGACACGTCGGGTGATTTCGCGTTGCAATTTCGACAACGGATCACGACGCATAATTGCGGCTCTTCCTCCTTCCCGCGAATCGCTTCACGCGCGCATTCACGACTGCTCATGCAATATGTGTACGCACTCGCTCGCTCTCGCGTTCACTCACTACGGCTTCACAGTTGTACATACATGTTGTGTTATTTCAATAATGCGCCCTCGCGACAACAAAACGGAAAGAAAAATGGACCTACAGTGAGTGCAAAAAGTGTTTGCGCAGAGAAAATATTTTTTTCTTTTGAAAAAACTTTATTTTTAAAAAGTAAATATTATCCAGCGAGAAACGAGTCGTCGAATCGATATCGAATTCGACGCCGATCCGACGTTTAATTGAAGATCATTTCTTGCTGGGTAACTGACAATTTATTCATAAAGAATAAAATATAGATTTCTGTATGTATTTCTTAAAATTATATATACCAAAAAAAGATGTGTGTGTATTAATTATAGAAAATATATCATCTGCGAAAAATGAGCGAAAATTAAAAATTCTATTGTACGAATGCTTAAAAAGTATTCGTACAATCGAGAAACTTATAATCAGAAATACATGCGAAGATCGTTTGTTTATGTTAGAACAGAATGTATTCATTGTACAACATTACTAATTAATGTTTATTTCTTGCTTATTAAATAAGACTTTTTTTTATAAAAAAAATTTCCTTATACGAATACTTTGTGCTCTCACTGTATTTTACGTACAGATAGATATCATGTGCGCGAATCGAAGATCTCGGAGCTTCTCGAACGAATGAACTTCGTGGGACGGGAATGATTGTAGAAACGAAACATCGAGAATGTACATGTGTTTGACTAGCGTGAATGGATTTTGATTTATGGTACAAGCGAGGTATGTAGCAATTTAAAATTAATCTACAGTCTGCGTAAGCTCCGAGATCCACGATCTTGCGCTACCCCTCGCAAGAGGGTAGCAATGGCAGGAGAACTGCTCCGACATTAACCGGACAAAGTAGTAGTAATAGTAGTAGTAATAATAGTAGCGGCTGTACGGAATGTACAGGTTTTATTGTACTGTAATAATATATCGCTATTGTGTTCCCTGTGTGTAATGCATTGCAAAACGATGAGGTAGTACTGTCATACTTTTGGCAGAGTTATGCGCGCGCGTGCGCGACGAGTGCTCACGTATATATTTGGCATGTTGAATGTTATTATAGAAAAAACGGGGAGAAAAAAAAAGAAAAAAAAAGAAGAAGAAGAAAAGAGATGAAGGAAAAAATAAAAATAAAAATAAAAACAAAAATAATAATAATATAAAAGAACGGAAATGAACTCTCTTCGGCTTCTATCTCGTGTACTATTATATCCCCAGCTCGCGCACGACGCGCTTTAAATACTAAATAATTCTCTATATCGTCTCTATTGTCTCTGATAACTTACGGTAGGCGGATATCGTTGTGAGAATAACCGTTTAAAAACTTTCTGCGAAAGAACAAAAAAGAAAAGAAAAAAAAAAATAAACGAAAGGGAGAACAAGTATAAACGGAACAAAAATAAGACAGATTAATCTGTATAAAGTGTAAATACTGTAACAAGTAATATCGTGGGTGCCATCCTGACTAGGAGTATATCTCTATATATCTATACATATAGGTAATGTGTAATATAAATCTATTGCATTGATCACATCTCATACAACCGGGATAGCAACTATTTCGCGCGTAACCGCGCGCACTGTTTAAGATCACACGTGTGTGATCGATGGCTATACTCTATATTCACGGTACGCGACTATTGCTCCGGACAAAAGTCCGCATTTTAAACATTGTAAACAGGTAACAAAGTGGTAGTGATCGTTTCGCCGCGAGGCATCGCAGCCGTTGCGACGAACTTCCGTGGCGAATGCGTTCGTTTTTTTTTTCTCTTTTTATTATCATTTTTCCCCCCCCCCTCCCCTCCCCCGAAAGAATCGACGTCGACATAATAGTATAATGATGTACCAACGATGATTATTGCTCGGTCGACGTGCTAGGTACACGCATTCGCCAAGAAGTACTTCACTTCCGTGAACAGCTGCGTGACTCTCCCACGGCTAATCGCACGACAGTCGTCCGCCCTAGAATCGCAGTAATCTCTCGTAAACGTTATATATAAAATCGTAACTGTATAAAAGATGTGTACTTCGTCGGGTGTCGTCTTGGCGCGATTTCGGATATGTGGGTGTCCCGGCGCGATTATATTATATATATTTATCAATAGCGGAGTGCGCGTTGTACGCGAGTGTACAAAAAGGCGAAACTGAAAATTAAACATTGTGTGATTACTCCAGAGTAGAAAAAGCGTCTTGTCTTTGGCACTGGTGCGCGCGTAAACGTAACGTATGTGGTTGGACATAGGTATCGCACATCGGAACGTCGCGATCCTACAGGCTTGACTTCTCAACAGCGATAGTAGTAGTAGTAGTAGTACCAGAAACAGGTAAACCGGTTAACGGCGTTAACGATTACAAATGCGACGGCGAGTAATCCGATCTATGTTGAACTATCAAAAAGGTAGCGTTTTTCTTTCCTGGCGCTCGTTCGCGCCACGATTTAAGTTTACCTGAGTTTGCATTGGTTCTCTCTCTCTCTCTCTCTCTCTCTCTCTCTCTCTCTCTCTCTCTCTCGTCGCAGTCGCCCGCGCTATAACGGCTCTGCGTGTACGTGCGTTTTTTATGCGCCATATTCGCTGCTCAGGTCGTTACCTTCACCCGCTATCTCTCCTCTCTCTCTCTCTCTCTTTCTCTCGTTTAAAAAGCTCCTAGTTAATAATTCCTTACTTGACCGTTGCACTTTCATTGACTAGCTTTGTGATTCGCAGCGTTTTCGCGAGCGTGCTCGAGGCGCCGTGCGCATCGTTGTTCCGTGCCTCCCTCATGTTTCATTTTCTCGCCCCGTACGAATCTTCATAGTCGTGCCCCTCGTTATATATGATTTCTCGACGATTCCAGGCGCGCACAGAGCGGAGAGATCGCTCTCGCGACGTGGAACCGGGACGGCGTTCGCTGACGACGACGAAGGGATAAACGAAGGTACCTATAACTGCAGCCTCTCCTCTCGTCTCGCACGCTCTAATCGCGGTCCAGTCTCGCGGTCGACTCTGGCGAGGTGATTACCGGAACTGTTGCTTCCGGTACCACCGCGCGTGGACCACGCGGACGGCGGCCGCGATGGCGACGGCGAGAATGACAGCGACGCCGAAGACATTGTTACTGGAGCACAGTGTCCGAGATGTTGGAGAGCACGGTGTCCGAGATGTTGGAGAGCACGGTGTCCGAGACCGAATGGTTGGACTGCTGGAATTCTTGCTTCATGCTAAGCTCGGCTTTGTGCTCCCGCGCAATATGCCGTCTGACGGTGTTGTTCCTGGTGAACGTCCGCGCGCAGTACGGGCACGGCACTCTAATGCCCTGGTGACGTTGCCGCACGTGAGCGCGTAGATTCGTCTCGTACCCGTACAGTCTCTCGCAGAAGGGACACTTTAATTTCCTACCTGGAAAAAGTACAAAACCCTCGTTTACAAATCCAATCCGTCAAATAAATAAGCCGATTATATGCTACGTTTATTTGGCGCTAAATCACTAATCGGCCGTGAACAAACGCAAATAAGAACGCTGTAATTTTCAAAAGAGTATAAGCGTCGCTCGTGTACGTGGCGGTTGAAAATATTAATGGGCACAAAAAAATATTTCACGGAACTGTCCCGCGCGTGATGTACATCGGTATTATGCAAAAGACCTAGTACACAAAAAAATCTTTTCTTTTTCTTTTCCTTTCAAAGGTAGTTAAAATTTTTCCACGATTGCCCGATTTAATTGACACGTAAGCCTATGAGCTAATCATAGTGTTCTGCGTATAAACGCGCGTGTAATGCCGCAGCGAACAACCTTCGGGGAAGGAAGACCGAATGCAGATTGCGCAACCCAGCTTCTCTTCTTCCCCCCCCCTCTCTCTCTCTCTCTCTCTCTCTCTCTCTTTTACACATATATAATTTTTTTTCTACCAGTGCGCAGCCGCGCTTCGCCATTAGTCCCATCGGCGAGAAGAAAACAAAGTTTGGGCTGAGGCGAACGATTCATGGTGGAGCATTAGGCCAATGCCTCCGAGATTGTTGGCGCGTGCAAGGCCAACCTCGAGCTCCGCGGGCTCTAATATACTTCCCGTCCAATCCGATTAACTTGCGCCAGAAGTACCATTTACATTTTACAGCAACCGCCGGTTCGGCCTCCTCGCTACGCGCGAACGTGCAAAACCGATCGCGGCCGATAAACGATCTACAACTCTGTTCGCGTTGTTCAAAATCTACGCAAATATTTGCGCTTAAAAAATGAGATAGATATATATTTCGACGTTGAAGAGAGAAAAGGCGAAGATGCTGAATTAATTAAGTGCAAAAAGTATTAGCAATGCGAATAGACCTTTTGTCATATGAGTTATTCATAAAAAATAAAAATGGACTCAAGTCACTACTCTAGCTTTTTTTACGGTCACTTTATTTATGGTGTGGAATTGATTTTTATTTTTTACGAACATATAAAAACAAAATAAAAGTAAATTAAATTGATAGATAAATCAAACATTCTTAATACTTTCTACTTCTATAACAAACGCATTTTTCCTAATTTTGGACTTATGCCACTTGTCAACTGAGGGGCTCATATATAACGCAGCCTGCATACTTCTAAAATCGTTACCCTAAACCTGATATAGTCGCAATTTTTCAGACCTTGATTATTGTACGATACTTTTCTTGCTACGCAATACGTAACGACGCATTATAATAGTGCAATATATTTTCTAGTTATATATTGTTAAGATTATTTCTAAAGCTGACGTTTTTACATTGTTGAAGTAGCGAAATTAAATTATAATCCGCGCTAATATTAGACTGAATTAAATGCTAAAATATGCATTAAAGCATTTAAGAAACAACGTTCCTCGAGAGAAACCTGACACATAATTAAATGCTCCTTCGATTCAAGATCGATATAAATTATGATACGTTGTAAAGATGTACCGTTCTTTAAAAAGTATGTCATAATATGTCAAATTCTTTTTTTAATTTATCGCCACGTTGAAAAAAGATAGGAATAGGATTAGAATAATTTTTGCTATCCAAAGTGGAAAGTAGAGTTAGATTTAGGCAACATGGAATTTGTGTGTGTGTGCAATAAAAATTAAAACAACTTTTGCTGTTAATTCACATTATATGAGAGCTGGCCGTGACACCGTCCTCGGACTTCATCCCAATGTATAAGCAAGAAGCTCACTATGAAGTCGAAGGGACTCCGTACTGTATCAATGGCGTGCCTCCGAATGAGAAGCGCGTTAGTCTCGTCGCCTGTTAACACACGAGATTTCTCTTTGTCTAATCCCAAAGAGTTGCGGCGATGTTCTCAAACGTCGGGTCATCGTGACATCATCGGTCCCTAACAGCGGCATTGCACGCGCGTGCGTTTAACAATAATAATAAGTTCTAACGTAATTCTATGCTGAATCACAGTCGATGAATTGGCCGAAATTTGCGTTTGCGTTTCACGAGCATAGCTGAACGGGGGCCATTCACCAACGGGCTGCGCGTGACACACCGTGTCATTAACGAAATTATATAGATTAATCGGAAACAGTTCGGTGGAGAGTCGAAGGAGAAAAAAAAAGAAGGGGCCGCCCATCATCGCGGGGCCGTTTCTTTCTTAAACGAAAGGATTCCTCGCTACAGCGATTCAGGTGTCACGAGAGATGGCAGGGAAAGATGCGAGTGATGAGAGGAATCGCGCTGGAACGAGTCAGTCACATGCTAGAGCATCGTAAAAATTGTTGCCACATTCAACGCTTAAATAATCGTCGGCGTAACTGACGCACGCATTCACGTACACATAGAAAAATATCATTCTCTGTTTGCTAAAAAAAAAAAAGTGATTACTTAATTAATTTATTTTTTTTTTAAGTAATAGTTATCTTTAATAAAGAATATTTTCTTGATAATAATTTTAAAATATATTTATTACAAATTTTAAAATTGATTATTATGTATATATTTAAAAAACAAAAATTTATTATTATTTTGTTTTATTATAAAACTGCGATTATTATAAGCAAATATATTTGTTTTAATTTAATAATCTTGATTGAAATATTAAACTTATTAGGAATCTCTAGAATATTTTGAATAAATTGTAATGGACTTATAATACAGATTCGCGGTTATATGAACTTTTCAAATATTATTAAAACAAGTATATAATTATTACTTGTGTACAATAAATATTTTTCTGTATACATGTACGATGCATTTCATATAAAAAAAAAAAGAAAAATCGATTTTTAGAAATTTTCTTCCATTGCTCGTGACTTATGAGAGAATCTTTCTTTTTTTCAATCATCATTCTCGATCATTTTTCTTAATTGTTATCTACACTGCATTTATTATCTATATTAGTGTCACCCTCCCATCATGCAACGTTACGCGATTCCGAGATTTATTCGTTTGATACACAACTGCGTTCGATGTCAACTTGACGCGCGTGGAATAAACGACCACATTTATCATTAAACATGCGCCAAAAATACGGGCGAATGACGATATCAGTCGCGGCGTATAAAAAAACACGATGTGCGCGTGTTACGTACGGTATCGCGCCGGCTCCTCGGTGGCGGACTGCGCCTAAAAATAGTGGGCCGTGGCATCCTAGAAAATGTAAACGGGGCCGCGGGGCAGCACACACGGTCTCGTGCAGCTGACTATGAAATTCACAAAGGACCCGCGCGCCGGAACAAAGGCACTCGTACGCGCGAAGACGCCGTAAGCCGGAAGAGAGAGAAGGAGAGGAGAGTGGCTGGACGGGCTCTGAAAGAGAGAGAGAGGGGGGGGGGAGAGAGAGAGAGAGAGAGAGAGAGAGAGAGAGAAGGAGAGGAAGAGAGGGCTCGATGAGGAGGATCATTGGCATAAGGAGAAAGAGCAGGCGGGACGAAGCTGCGGGGTAGATACGCCCCTGAAACATGCAGAAACGCAAAACGGTGCCGGTCAGGAAGCGGGACGCTTCTGGGAAAGGTACCGCGCCATCTGCGCCGCCCAAGAAATCGCCGATCCGTCGCCCGGGTCTCCCGTGTTTATCGATGATTACCACACATAGCTACGTTCCCGAGTGTATCGAGGTGCGGAGCCATGCGGCGCTGAAATTCTTGAAAAATTCGCGAGTTTCATTCCGCCGCGAGAGTACGTACCTCGACGGAAGGCCTCGGGGCACGGTCTAAGTCTAAGATTGTTCGAAGTTTCGATAATTCGAGGAAATGTCACTGCCCGAATCTCTGTCCTAGAAAACAAAGTTTGCCTTTCCCTCCGCACGCATGGCGCGTTATTAAACCGTTATTATAAAGGGCTCGAACGAACGCTCCTCGGAAAATAATTAAGCGATCCAATTAGTCCCCCGAGCCCGGGTACTCGCTCGCGCCTCGAATTATCGTCACGTCCCGGGGAGGATCGCTGAGGGCCACTGAGTCGATGGTCTGGAAGGATGCGAAAGGGGATACGGCGATTTGGAGCAAGTCTCCAATTCTTGGAGGAATCGTGCGTGTTTGACCGTAGGGCCCAGGGAAGAAGGAGACGGAGAATCGAGGAAAAAGGCGAGAGAGAGAGAGAGAGAGAGGGGGGGATGGACGGGAGATTGGAGGCGGCAAAATGGAAAGGTTAAGTTACGAAACGCAACGGCAGCCTCCAAGGTCTCCCCCGTCCCTCAATCCCCACACCTCATCGGTCGATCTGACCCTTTTTTTCTCTTTTCGGCTGAATGGATCGAACAAACATGTAACGCAAAGAGTGACTCCTGATACACGCAGCTCTACC